GTGTTCCTTCCATTTTCTTCATGTGCGTTTGTAGGGATATAAATTCCCCTCTTCTACAGCTTTCATGGCGTCCCAGAGATTCTGGTAAGATACTTCTTCATTTTCATTTGTTTCCAGGTATCTTTTGATCTCTGTTTTGATTTCATCATTGACCCAGGAGTTGTTTAGCATCATACTGTTTAGTGTCTATGTCTTTGTGGGTTTTGGGGGATCCTTGTTGGTGTAATGTTTGTTTTTATTCCACTGTGGTCCGAGAAGGTGCATGGTAGAATTTTGGTCCTTTTAAATTTGCTTATGCTTGATTTATGGCCAATTACGTGGTCGATCTTAGAATATGTTCCATGTGGTGATGAGTAGAATGTGTATTCTGTGGTCTTTGGATGGAGTGTTCTGTAGGTATCAATTAAGTCCATTTGGTCAAGAGTCACATTGAGTTCCGGATCTCATTGCTGATTTTTTTATCCTGATGATCTCTCTAGGATTGTGAGTGGGGTATTAAAGTCCCCAATTATGATGGTGTTAGAGTCAATATCTTTCTGTAGTTTTCCTAGGAGTTGCTTTACAAAAGTTGGTGCACCTATGTTAGGTGCATATATGTTTAGGATAGATATTTCTTGTTGATGGAGTGAACCTTTTATCATTATGTAGTGGCCCTCTGTATCTTTTTTTAATTTTTGCTAGCTTAAATGGTATTTTGTCTGAAATTAGGATCACAACTCCTCCTTTCTTTTGTGTTCCATTCGCCTGTAAATTTGTTTCCCATCCTCTTACTTTGAGTCTGTGCATGTCCTTTCTAGTGAGATGGGTCTCTTGAAGGCAATATATTGTTGCCTCTTGATATTTTATCCATTTTGCCATTCTATGTCTTTTCAGTGGTGCATTTGGTCCATTCACGTTCAGGCTAATTATTGAAATGTGAGAGTTCGTCCCTATCATAGAGTTCTTTTTTTTTTTCCTTGAGTTGGAGTCTCACTCTGTCGCCCAGACTGGAGTGCAATGGCCGTTCCCGGCCACCG